AGACTACAAACGCTTTCTCCACCGGTGCTTTCAAAACTCTTGGTAGACTGTTGTCGCTAATACTAATAATAGAAGCAATCAATTGCTGGGAGATAAGTACAGAACTAGATAATGTTGTACTCTGAGGTCTGAACGGCGGATATGGCTGCGCGTGCGGAGTGAAGAGTCACAAGGTCAGAATGATCAGCGACGTATCCGTGCATGCCCTGACAAAAAAAATTAAGCGGCACTGCGCCAAGTCAAAGCTGAGAACGCACGCCTGCTAGCTCTAGCTTACATACTCCCAAAATAAATTAACTTAAAAAAATAATTTCTAGTACATTGAATCTAAATAAAAACCTACTTAAATTTACTATACTCCTAGTATGATTTTTCTATCCAATTAGGAAATATGTTATTCTATCCTATTATTTTGGGAAAGAAGAGTACTAGTTTGATAGCTGCCTGCATTGCTTTGCATATAAACGTGGAATTGGAGTACAGTAGATTTTCTAACGAGGGAGACCTGACCGCCTGGGAGTGTGACAAACTTGGAAAATTTGGTTTCCATTCTCACCTTGCTTCGGCAACGATTACTCGCGAGAGAGCTCACAAACGACTCTGACCTTGTAATTTCGCGCGATTACGTATGGTTATCTGTGGTAACCTCGTAAGAAAACTATTTCGAATTTTAAAAATATTTTAGTTTTTCTCAACAACCTTATAGTTTTTTAGGTAACCTAGCTCACAGTTTTTGTTTTCATGGTAACCTCGTAGTTTTTCTGGTAACCGTGATACCACCGATTAGCGGAAACCATACCAAAACAGTGGAGAAAACGAGAAAACCTTAACTCTGACTCACTACTATACCTAGGTTGTGTTTAGTTCACACTAAAATTAAAAGTTTGGTTGAAATTGGAACGATGTGACGAAAAAGTTGGAAGATTGTGTGTAAGAAAGTTTTGATGTGATGAAAAAGTTGGAAGTTTGAATAATTATTTTGAAACTAAACACGGCCCTATATATGGTGTCCTTTTTTCTAGACTATCTATTTATGTTGAATTCTTAACCATAAGTCCATTCATTAACCAAGTATTTATTTATAATTCATCACGACTATCTGGGTTTTTCAAGCATTAAAAGAAAAAGCTCGTTGTACGTACAGGACGTGCATGCAACTACATCCAAGAAACGGCCCTTGTTTCGCACAGTGAACTAGTGATGTAGCTCGCTGCCACCTGAGAGAAGAGGTAAGTACTACCTCTACTATAAAAAGATTTTATTTTTAGCTATACCAATAGTCTTTTTCGACGAAGGTCAGTGCCGTGCCCACGTTATGTCTCTCGGGGTCATAGGACCCAAGTAAATTATTACTACCTCTACCCCTAAATATTTAATACCGTTGACTTTTTTAATATGTTTGACCGTTCGTCTTATTTCAAAACTTTTATAAAATATATAAAACTATATGTATATGTAAAAGTATATTTAACAATGAATCAAATAATAGGAAAAGAACTAATAGTTACTTAAATTTTTTAAATAAGACAAACGGTTAAACATGTTTAAACAAGTAAACAGCGTCAAATATTTAGAGACGAATGAAGTATATCCTAACTAAATTGTACCTTATTAACTATTATATCAAGTAACAAACTTAGATGATGATGATCAAGTAACAACTTATCATCTACTGATTCGCTACGGACGGAGATAGTAGCCATTTCTGACCGATCGACCGACGGGCGGGCGCGGGCACGCACGTACACACTACACGCATCGCTCTCGTCCCCCCGGGAGTATGGGCGCGCGCGCCTGCATCACATTGCCGCCATGCTGACATGCACCGCCGACGCCAGTCCAGCTAAGCCGCCGCCTACAATTCCTCCACCACACTTGTAGTAATATGTACACGTCGTCCTCGTTTAAAGGCCGGCCCGCCAGGAGGTCACTGTTGCTAGTCACGAACACCGCATGATATTTCTGTTCACGGACCGGTTAATTGACCGCCCGCCCTTTTAGTTACTCTTTTATCTGAATCTTTGGTACTTACCACATAGTATCTCTGTTGATCATACCAACCGTAAAAGTTACTGTCATGGATAAGCAGATAATATCAGCTGTATTTGCTAACTTTTTATTACCATTTTAAAGTTAATCTCTACAGATATTTCAGGTACACTGATTTTTATTCTCTCTCTGTCTCTTTTTTCAGGAGAGGCACCTGGATCGGAGTTTTACTGCATTCTAGTGTAGATATATGGTTTTAGTTTATTCGTAACTATATTTGTTATTTTTGTTATAAACTTGTAGAAGTGATATATTTGTGGAGTAATATATTTCGTATTAATCTATGTTGCCAATTTTTTTCATATTTTTTATAACTATTTAGGTGGCATGCACGAATGAGGGGATATCCCCTCGAGGGATGAAATCACTTTCCCTATAGATTTCATGTTTGATAAAAAAGAAAACAAGGATGATCAAATTGATTACTGATCTACTGGTACAATTATACAAAGTAGAGTAAAAACAAAGAGGGGTTGTTCACTAGCTAGGATGCATGATCAGACAAATTAAATGGATAAACATTTCTTTTTTCTCTCAGAGCGAGTCAGAGGTGATGTCTTGCTTGCTTCAGTATTTACCTAGCTAGGACGACAAATCAACCCATGGCTAAGTATATATCATGCATGCATGGGCCCTACAATATCATTTCAGCTTAAATAATTTCGATTTGTACGTTAATTTATTTGTCTCTGTCGTGAAAACCGCACTTCCCTATCGATCTAGAGCGTAATAATTTATAAACGATGGATATGTTCGTTTGGTTAATTTGTTCAATGCATGATTCAATCCGGCCACTCCCTGAAAGTGAGAGATGATAAACTAATGAAGATCCTTGACAATTCTTAGTCCAAGTTTGAAGGAGCTGAGCTAGCAAGCAAGCATGAAGACTGTCCAAGCTAATTAACGTCAAACGAAGCCAAGATATAATAAATAAGGTGTATTACATTAAGCATTAAGCAATAAAATGTGGATGGTTTTCTTGGCAGAATCAGCTCCTGGAAGATACGTACCAATTGGCAATCGCTGTCAAAGTTGACTATAACATTGCAATCGCTTCTTATATATTGCGACAATCGTTGCGTAAGGTTAATTTCATGGTAGAATCAGCAACTGTTGTAACAAATATTATCGCAATGTCAAGTGTTTTACTGATTGAAAATTAACATTGTTTTACTGAAGTAGGAGGAAGTTACCTGATCGGATTTTGGAGCCCTATACGGTCGCTCATCTTGCACCTGCTTAGAAACGGCCCTGGATCAACCCTGATGGGGTTTGATGTTATTTCTGATGGTAAAAACCCGTGAGGAAATTTATTTTCTAGTAGTGCCCTCTTGCGATATGCCAGATCGATCCAACCAAGATATATAAATGGCATCATATATATAACCCTATTTCTTATTATCATCCATCAGTCAATCTCTCAGCTCTAGCTCAGGTGTCCTACCAGAACATATATGATATTTACTTAATTAGCTGGATCATATCTTCAAACATATAAAAAAAATATCGCATGCATGGCATTCATGATAATTTTGCTGGCAGCACACCATTAATATCTCCTGTCCATATGATCGATCTGTGTCGTTCATCGATATCATGCATGTAGTACCAATCACGTAATATCCCCAAAGTCAACAAAAATCAAGCTGCGATCTGTTAGGATGATGAGATCCACATATATTAGAGCAAGTGAATAGTACAGCCAACTACTAGCTCCAAATCATTTATAGCCAATGTAATAGCTAATTCATACAATAGTTGCTTACTATACTATTAATACTTGGTCCTACCTATCATACATACATTACGTCTTGGAGTCCGTACTGCAGCTGGCTACAGATCTGTAACCCACTACTCTTCTCTCTCTTCCTTTATCTATTTAAAATATGTTTATAGCTGGTTTATAGCCTGCTATTATACCTGCTCTTAGACAAAAACCCATGGAATCCTCCGAGCTTAAACTAGATCAATTAATTAGCCCTAAAGAATCTCCGTGATACGTTATCTATAAATTCCCCAATTGTTGGAGCGTGCAACTGCCGCTGCCTAACTAATTAAACTGCCATTATACATGCTTAAGACGTACCAATTGACACTATTAAAGCTACTAATGCATGCTTAGCTGCACATTTGCTAAACAATTCCACTCACATGTCCCTCGAGAAGGCAATATATTTGGAGTTCTTTATCAGTTAGTCAATGCAGAAGTCCAGGAGTGGCACTAGCATGGCCCAAAAAGTCTACTATACCGTCTAAAGATCCACTTGCAAAGATTTTCCAAGCTTGTAGCTGTCCCAGATCTGCAATCTATTATTAATTATATATGTATATATATGATAATTATTCAGTTGCATTTTATCGCATGTACACACAGGCACACACAGCTAGCTAGTTAACTAGTCGTATGCAAGAGCGGTACACACGTTATTACTAGCTAAAGTTTTTCAAATAATGCATAACAATGTTTTACACATCTCTGACCTTTTGTACCATTTATACTATACAGTTTTTTTAAAAAAAACTACTCATATTATATTGCATGTACACACAAAATTAGAGCGCCATTGTTTTGCTTACCCGATAGCTTATTAGCAAATAAAAGATCATTTATGAGTAAAACTTTTATATACATGTCCTTAACGACTTAAAACCAAATATTGTAAAATAAACTACAATGAAAAAATCAAATTCAAAACTAAGCTCTAAAATTTAAAATTTTAGTTTATAAGAATAAGTATAAGAAAAAAAATGAGGTTGTTAGTCAACTAGTCGTACAATAGCACATATGTACGTCATTGTATGTTTTTTTTTAATAACCGAAAAGTGTTTTACACCTTCAACCTCTATACATTTTACACGGAGTCTTTCGGAGGTCCTCATAAGAGTAGGATATACGTGTGTGCGTGTTAATAGGGATGAGTGCACGCGCGTTTGCGTTTGTACAGTGTTTTTTTAAAAATTACACGGTACAGTAGAAAACGTTCTATTAAGTAGCTAACTAGCTCAGCTCACACACTTCGTCTCCACTATACTACCTAGCTAGTCTACCTCCATTGGTGCCTAGCTAGCTAGCTAGGCTAAGGAGGGAGAGGGTTCGAGATGGCCATGGCCGGCGGCGAGCCGACGCTGATGCCGGTGTCGGCGATGTGCACGCCGGCGTTCGTGGCGCGGGTGGTGCGGAGCCGGTGGTTCGTGGTGTTCGCGTCGATGGTGGTGATGGCGGCGTCGGGGTCCACCTACATCTTCGCGCTCTACTCCAAGGAGCTCCGCTCCACGCTGGGCTACAACCAGCAGACGCTCAACACCCTCAGCTTCTTCAAGGACCTCGGCACCAACGTCGGCGTCGTCTCCGGCCTCGTCCAGCAGGTGGCCCCCACCTGGGCGGTGCTCCTCATCGGCGCCGCCATGAACCTCGCCGGTTACCTCATGGTCTACCTCGCCCTGGACCGCCGCACGGCGGCGCCGCCGGTGTGGCTCATGTGCGTGTACATCTGCGTTGGCGCCAACGCGCTCACCTTCTCCAACACCGGCGCGCTCGTCTCCTGCGTCAAGAACTTCCCGGAGAGCCGCGGCATCGTCATCGGCTTGCTCAAGGGCTTCGTGGGGCTCAGCGGCGCCATCTACACGCAGCTCTACCTCGCCATCTATGGCGACGACGCCAAGTCGCTGGTGCTGCTCATCGCGTGGCTCCCCGCCGCCGTGTACATCTTCTTCGTGCACACCATCCGCGTGCTGCCGTACCGGCGGCGGGGCGACGGCGAGGAGCTCGACAGCAAGCCCTTCTTCTGCTTCCTCTACATCTCCATCGCGCTCGCCGCCTACCTGCTCGTCATGATCGTCGTGCAGAAGCAGGTCCGCGGCTTCTCCCACGCGGCGTACGTCGTCGGCGCCGCCGCGCTCCTCCTCATCCTCTTCCTCCCGCTCGCCGTCGTCGTCAAGGAGGAGCGCAAGAACGCGTCCCACCTCGAGCGCGCCCTCCAGCAGCCGCCGTCGATCGCCGTCGAGCACCCCACGCCCACGAAAGAAGCCGACGGCGAGCCGGCGACGTCGTGCGTGGGGAGGATGTTCAGGCCGCCGGAGTTGGGGGAGGACTACAGCATCATGCAGGCGCTGGTGAGCGTGGAGATGGCCGTGCTGTTCGTTGTGTCGGTGTTTGGCATCGGCGGGACGCTGACGGCGATCGACAACATGGCGCAGATCGGGCAGTCGCTGGGCTACCCGGCGAAGAGCATCAACACGTTCGTGTCGCTCATCAGCATCTGGAACTACGCCGGCCGCGTCGGCGCCGGCTACCTGTCGGAGATGCTCCTCGCCCGGTACAGGTTCCCGCGGCCGCTGGCGCTCACCGCCGTGCTCCTCGCCTCCTGCGTCGGCCACCTCCTCATCGCGTTCGGCGTCCCGGGCTCGCTCTACGCCGCCTCCGTCATCATCGGCTTCTGCTTCGGCGCGCAGTGGCCGCTGCTGTTCGCCATCATCTCCGAGGTGTTCGGCCTCAAGTACTACTCCACGCTCTTCAACTTCGGCTCCGCCGCGAGCCCCATCGGCGCCTACGTGCTCAACGTGCGGGTGGCGGGGCGGATGTACGACGCCGAGGCGGCCAGGCAGCACGGCGGCGTCGCCGTCGCCGGCGACAAGATCTGCAAGGGGGTGATGTGCTTCAAGCGCTCCTTCCTCATCATCACCGGCGTCACCTTCGCCGGCGCGCTCGTCTCGCTGCTGCTCGTGTGGAGGACGAGGAGCTTCTACAAGGGGGATATCTACGCCAGGTTCAAGGTGGCGCCGGCGACGGCCGCGACGTCGGCGGCGGCGGCGGCGGAGGCGAGCTCGCCGGAGGTGGAGGAGAAGAAGGGCACTGAGAAGAACAAGAAAGACGGAGTTCATGAACACGTGTCTAACTGAAGATGATGGATGACTAATTAACCTATATATTTTTCAGTTGTTTTGAACGATAATTAGTGGGAAGATGAAACAGTTTGTGTATTATTACTGGTGAATCTGTGTACTTCCGTGTTAAAATGTGATGAGGTAAATTCGCATGGCTCGGATAGTTTTCAAATTTTCCTTTGAATTTATAGGTTGGAGTTCATCACTGTGGTACAGTCAAACGAACTGCAACTGAGAGATCATCAGATTCTGAAACAAACTTGCTAGTCAAGGCCGCCTCTCCCAGCGCAGATCATTGATGCTGCTGGTTCAAAATTCATATTCAAATTAATCACAAAAAGTAATTCATATTCAAATTTGAAGTAGGTTCTCTGGATTAGCATTTGAGATAGTGTGTGATGAGGTAGTCGATGGCAAAGTTAATCAGTATATACTCTGGAAATGTGATATTCTGTTCACATTTCATACTGCAATCTTTCAGGCTTTTCGCCCCACCTATTCTTCACTTGATATTCAGAAACATTTCATACTGCAAACTTTCAGGCTTTTCACCTATTCTTCACTTGATATTCAGAAATTGCAGAACATTTGGTATTCAGGAAACGCGAAATATTTTAGCATTCAAACAAGAGGACCTTTGCGCTCCCTTCGATCTGAACTCGAGTTTCTGTCATCTGAAGCTGTCACTTCGGTCTAATCTTTCAGTGTTGATCATGTTTCATGATAAGGGTAGGAACTTAAGATTTCATCGAAAAATAGAGTTTCAACAAGAAAAGTGGATAACTGAGAACAGTACCCTAAAATGACATGAGCATCAAAATTATCCAATTAAGTATGAGTAAGACACAAATTGAAGTTCAGGAAGAAGAAAATGACAAGTAAACACTTTCTTCGAATGCGCAACCTGATCAAGAGGTTATGTGTGCCTAGACAAAAGTAGCAGAGCTTTATGAATGCCTCACAAGAGAAGGCCATCATTCTCAACTTCCCAATAGCTCAGAAAATCTGGACCAAAGATGAGTAATGATGATGAAGAAATTACCCTACTTAATTGGCAAATGCAGAACCAATCATTAACTAAGCGTACCAAATTGATTTACTAACCCAAGTTGAGTACTCTTATTAAATAGAAGAGCATGTTGTCATGACAACAACCCGTTCTTTTCTCCAACAAGAGTTGGATGAAGATAAAGATTTTCGTGTTACGTTTTTTAAACTGCTAAACGGTGCGTTTCGTGCGAAAACTTTATATATTAAAGTTGCTCTAAAATATTGTATTAATCTATTTTTCAAGTTTATAATAATTAAAACTCAATCAATCATACATTAATACCATCTCGTTTTATATAAAAAACTTCATCTTCAGGAGAAAAGAACACCGCCATAATCTGGATAAGCAGAAGCTTTAAGATAAACAAATCAAGATACAAAACATCACATTGTGTGCATATATAATCTGAGCTCAGATATTAAGATAGAACAGTTGATTTACTGACCCAAGAATAAAGGGACCTTGCCATGCATGCTGTGATGAGGCAGTGGATGGCAAAGTTAATCAGTATATACTCTAGAAATGTGATGTTCTGTTCTCATTTCATACTGCAAACTTTCAGGCTTTTCTCCCCACCTATTCTTCACTTGATATTCAGGAATTGCAGAACATTTGGTATTCAGGAAACACGAAAGATTTGAGCATTCAAACAAGGGGACCTTTCCGCTACCTCCGATCTGAACTCGAGTTTCTTTCATCTGAAGCTGTCACTTTGGTCTAATCTTTCATTGTTCATCATGTTTCATGATAAGAGTAGGACAGAAGATTTCATCCAAAAATAGAGTTTCGACAAGAGAAGTGGTACTCTAAAAGGACATGAGCAATTGAGCATCAATACTGGCTGCAATTAAGAATAACAAAGTGACAACAAAATGTGATTTTCTTTGAATGTCAGCCTGATCAAAAGGGTTAATATATGCCTAAACAGAAAGGGCAGAGCTTTATGAATGCCTCACCAGAAAAGGCCATCATTCTCAACTTCCCAATAGCTCGGAAAATCAGGACCAAAGATGAGTAATGATGATGAAGAAATTACCCTATTCAATTGGCAACTGCAGAACAAGTTCATCGAATAAGCGTATCAAATTGATTTGCTACCCCAAGTTGAGTTCTCTTATTAAATAGCAGAGCATGTTGCCATGACAACAGCATAATCTGAATATGCAGCAGTTTTAAGATAAACAAATTAAAACACCAAACACCACATTGTCTGAATACATAATCTGAGCTCAGATATTCAGATAGCACAGTTGATTTACTAACCCAAGTATAAAGAGACCTACTGTCTTAGGTGGTGTTCTTTTCTCCTAAAGATAAAGATGAAGATGAAGATTAAGTTTTTTATACAAAACGAGGTGGTATTAACATATGATTGATTGAGTTTTAATTATTATAAACTTGGAAAATAGATTAATATGATATTTTAGAGAAACTTTCATATAGAAAGTTTTTGCACGAAACGCACCGTTTAGCAGTTTAAAAAGCATGCCACAAAAATCTTAATTTTCATCTAGAGAAAAGAACATGACCTTACTCTAAACCTTAGGCATGTATAAAGGGACCTACTTTCTTACTCTGCAACTTCCCAACAAATTTAGATTAAATCATGTCTGGTTATATTTGACTGTTAATCTCCTTGCAGTATTCTCGTGCAGGAGAAAGGTAACAACATTCTTTTATTACCTATTAAATTATGCTAACAAAAATAATAAATTTGGCTGTGAATATTCATATACTGAATATAGTTTAATTTATTACTTTTGTTATAACTTATAGAAGTCGAATTTAGACATACCGGTAGTAATATAATATATATTAATCTATCTTATCATTTTTTTAAAAAAATTGTAATTATTTAATTAACATGCAATAAACGAGTATACATCCACCTATGTGATTAAAAAAGTTTCCCCTGATGGATGACTAATTGACCCATACTTTTTCAGTTGATTTGAGCAAAATTTAGAGGTAATTAGAGGGAAGATGAAAAAGTCTGTGTATTATTTACTGGTGAATCTGTGTAATTCTGTGTGAAATGTGATGAGGTAAATTCGCATGGCTAAGACAGTTTTCAGTCTGGGAATTCTCGTTCGAGTTCATCAAACGAACTATGACTGAGATCATCAGATTCTGAAACAAATTTGGCAGTCAAGGTTGTCGCCTCTCCCAACGCAGATCACTGATGCGGCTGGTTAAAATTCATATTCAAATTGATCACAAAATAATAATTCAGATGCAAATTTGAAGTAGGTTCTCTGGAGTAGCATTTGAGATCTGGTGCTTGCCTCTGCTTGGTGTGATGAGGCATGTGATGGCAAAGTTAATCAGTATATACGGAAATGATGTTCTGTTCTCATTTCATACTGCAACGTTTTCAGGCTTATAGCCTCAGCTAGTCTTCACTTCATACTCATGAATTGCAGAAGGTTTGAGTAATCAGAAATTGCAAAAGATTTGAGGATTCAAACAAACCTTTGCGGTTTACGCTCCTTTGGTCTGAACTCGAGTTCCTGTCGTCTGAAGCTGTCACTTCTCTTTCAGTGTTGAGCATGATTCATGATAAGGGTAGGAAGACAAGATTTCGTCGAAAATAAAGTTTCGACAAGAAAAAATAGTAACTAAAAACAGTACCCTGATAAGACATGAGCGCCAAAGCTGTCCAATTAAGTGTAGGACAAATTGAAGTTAGAACAAAGTGACAACTAAATGTGATTTTCTTCGAATGTGCAACTTGTTCAAAAGAGTTATATATGCCTAAACAAAAATAGCAGAGCTTGACGAATGCCTCAAAAGAAAAGGCCATCATTCTCAATTTCCCAGTAGCTCAGGAAATCAGGACCAAAGATGAGTAATGATGATGAAGAGATTACCCTTCTTAATTGGCAAAAGCAGAACTAATTCATTAACTAAGCGTATCAAATTGATTTACTAACCCAAGTTGAGTTCTCTTATTAAATAGCAGAACTAATTCATTAACTAAGGCCCTGTTTAGTTCCAAAGTTTTTTTCCAAACTTCCAACTTTCCATCACATCAAACCTTTCATACACACAACTTTTCTATCACATCGTACCAATTTCAACCAAACTTCCAAACTTCAGTGTGAACTAAACACAGCCTAAGCATATCAAATTGATTTACTAACCCAAGTTGAGTTCTCTTATTAAATAGCAGTCCATGTTGCCATGACAATAACATAATCTGAATATGCAGCAGTTTTAAGATAAACAAATCAAAATACAACACATCACATTGAATACATAATCTGAGCTCAGGTATTCAGATATCACAATTGATTTACCAACCCAAGTAGAGTCGAGAATTTCGAGTTCCACCTGAACCATAGGCAAGTATAAAGGTATCTATTGTCTTACTTCACAACTTCCCAACAAATTTTGATTAAATCATGTCAGATTATATTTGACTGTAAATCTCCACGCGGTATTCTTGTGCAGGAGAAAGATACAAACATTCTTTTAGTACCTATAAAATTACGCACATTAGCACACATGGTTCAAGAACAAATACCCACAGGCCATATGTTATTCACAGAAAGAAACGGGAGCAAGAACAATTTACACTTCACGGCAAGGCAAGAACAGGCAGACTTAAGATTAAAACTTGTGGATGACTGATATTTACAAAGACATAAAGAACCAGAACACACTGATAACCTTGGAACAGTGAATGTTTCATCCTCTAAAGAAAGTTTGGAGTGCCTAATCTTTTGGATTCTACCAGTTCTCTTTGACGATTTTTGACTTCTCAAATATGAACTTCCCTTCCTTGTACTTCTGTGTTTCCTCATAGGCTCTCTCGTACTTCCAGCCCAACACCTCCCGGCAATCATTGCAATAGATATCAGCAACAGTGTGAAGCCCCGTCATAAGTTGCCTGTCCTCCTTCGCGCCCACAACAACATTCATGGCATGAGAGAACAGAAAGGCACGGCCATTCCTCCCCTAAAATAACCAAAATAACGGTAAGTAGAAGGCATCAGCCTTCAAGCATTTGTCTAAAGGCCCAATGATGCAGTATTTCTTCAGAAAGCTACTGTGCTTGTGTTCAGTTATTTTGAGTTGTTCTTTTAGGAAAGCAAAGGTATAAATTTTAACAAATATAAGACTGCATTTTTTTGTTAACTTTTAGGCTTTAGTGTCAAGTTGTTTCATTGTAAGCATGAATTAAACTGAGGAATAAAATGCAGCACACCGAATTGAGGTGCTGGTTCTTTAGCATAACATACACACAACCCCGGTAGTAAGGTAAGCAAAAGGCGTGCTAAATACTACCTCAAATCTTTACTGAAATCATGCCAATTTACACAAAGGGTATATCATCTACAGTTATTCTTATACAGTATGCATGACTAGAAAAAAAAAAAAGAGTTTGCAACCATCGACAGCTAATCACATAATGACTCATAAACCGCACAGGCAATCAGAAACCAATGCCACATCCAGGTTTTTTGTTAGTCCAATTACCGTTACCGCAATGATATGGACTACTTGATCACTGCATATCCAACCATATCCCACTAAAACATACGTAGTGCGGAGTAGTAACAAGCATGTATCTCATCTGAACAACTACTGATCATTTCTTCGATCAAGCAGGAGCCCTAAATTAGGCAGGCAGGTAATTAGCTCCTAGGAACAAAAAAAAAAAAAAAGAATTCAAGGAGAAGGAAAAGCTCCCCGGCTGCCGAGGGCCGACCTGAAAAGCCTTGGAGATGATGTCGTCGTGGAGGCAGACGTGGTTCCGGCAGTTGCAGCAGCTGTACACCCGCGGACCCACCAGCTCCGCCATGAACACCATACCTCGAGAGCAAAAATCCCTCGAGGCAACTCAACCAATCCTGCAAAGAATCGAGACGCGAATTACATACACCATCTCGTGGCTAGTAATAATAAAAAAAGAGGAATCGAACTAGGGACCCCAAATTTCACCAAGAACTTTGGGTTCCAAGAACCCTTGGAACCCCCGAATTGCGGGAAGAGGGGAGAAGCAGAAATCGGGAGGTTTGGACTGAATTGAACACGGAGGTGAAAGGGAGGGTTCCGAGTAAGTACTAACCGATCGGGCGTGACCGGAGGTGGGGGGCGCGGGGAGCGGAGAGGAGGCGGCGCCGGAGGGGATTAGCGGAGGAGTCGCCGGAGTTTGGGAGAAGAAATAGGTGAGATGATGACGGTAAAGGCGCGGTTTTGTTGAGGGTTAGTTGAGATATCATAGGAGGCAAAGCAAGATTTTGTGAGAAATCTAGGAAGTAAATTGCACCCATGGTGCATCACCTTAGCAGGTGAGCGTTCTAGTACAACAATTTGGTAGACAAATATAATTTAATATAAAATCTTTATAAGTAATCATATAAATGTAACAACTTGCAAGATATGTACGATTTTCATACAATAAACTAAGAAGTTATAGCGACAACTTAATTATTTGGAGCATTTTTTATATAGATTCAATTTTTAAGTAATTATTTTTACAATATACTAGCGTGGATTTGTATAAGCATATTTATATTTTTATTCTAATAACTAATAACTAAAAGTCAATTAAACTGGATGTAAATTATATTTCGGTTGATATTTGAGAAGGTGAAGAAAAAAATCTTAAGGTAATTGGATGTAAACTCTGTGTGCAGTATAATTCTTCAAGATTAAATTCAATGTCTAAGGTAATATCTGTAGGATTACTATGTAATTGCATATTGACATCGTGAAAAAAAACTCGCCTAGCATATGCTTAGCCAAGTTGATACACCAAAATACTAAATTGTCAAGTTATTGTATTAGAACGCACCCACTTATCAAGTTGTTGCACTCGGACATTCAATTCTCAAGTTCTTGTAATATATCGCACCCACCTGCTAAGTTGTTGTACCGTTGATGCAATTTGTGTGATAATTAAAAATTTACCACTGAACTCACATGTCATAGACACATAAGCGTCCACATATCATGTATCATATCATTGATTGTGAGTGACAAATCCTTAATTACCGCATCTTGAGAGCATCACCAAACTGTGTATAATCTCCCAAAAAAATTATTATTGGTTTGCTAAACTGAAGATAGGAAAGAAAATAACTGATCTCTTCAGGAGAAAACCTAAATTGTATCCCCAAAAGCTAAAAATGGGCTATTCTATTAAACTACCAACAGAATTTCCATTAGCACGCTACCTCTTGCGCTCCCTCTGAAGCCACGCCAATCTCCCAAGCACGGTGCGGGAGCAAGGTGGTAGAGGCGAGATTGGGAGTGGACGAGGGCGCCGCTTTCTCCCACATCAACAGAGCGAATATTTCGGGAGAACTTCAAAAATCATGCAATAGAGTAGGAGATCTGTTGGATTGTTTTTTTTCTACTAAATCCCTCAGAATTGGTTTTGGGATGAAATATGAGGACTGTTGGTGATTCTTTAAAAGTGGCAAATTGTTAAATGCCCCAAAATCTAGGTGCAGTTGTCAGGTTTACTTCATGGTGTCTCGCTTTTTATCGTGGGATATATGTAAAATATTATAGAAATGATGAAATTACTTGAATTTGTAAAATATTGTGAAAATGATTAGGGAATGATGATTTAGCATATGTATGTTGAGTTTTAGAATGAAATAAAATTATAAACATAATTAATATATTTGTATATGAGCTTTGAGTACTTACTGAGTTGATGTTGCATGCTTGCATGTTGATCTTTAGGAGTATTAATAAATACCATAATTACGTGTTGAGCTTTAGGTGTAGTGGGTTGAAACTTTATAGAAGGTATAGATAAACTAATCAATGAGATGATAAGTCTAAGTCTAAACAAATATACTACATCCGTCCTAAAATATAACAACTTTTAGCTCTGATTAAGAACATATTTTTTTCAGCTTTTTTTAAAAAAAAACTCATAAGTTTCTGCACTATTAAGAGCTAAGTTGGAATAATCTTTTTTCTAAGCACAATGAATACAGGACTTCACAACTAAACATAATGCTTGAAAGCCATCAAATTATAAATTCATATAAGCCGAAAATTTGGCTTAAACAGCTAAATGGTGGATGGAGCGTTGGATAGGGCGACATTAATGATTTAAGCATGTGTGGTCTTGTTGAGTATATATATGGAATGGAAGGGGTGAAAACGGAGCGGATAGTTTCCGTCCGCTCCGGTCAAAAACGGATACGGATAGTGTTCAGAGCGGATTTTTTTTCAGATATTTCGAATACGGATACGAATACGGATATTTTTCTCCAGATACGGATACGAATATGGTAACACAGTTTCCGGCGAATACGAATATGGAGCCGAATATCCGGAGATTAAGATGCGCGGATATCCGCGTAACGCTTGATGTCTCTCCAGCCTCCAGCCCATCCCTTCAATTTCAGCCCATAGTTTTCTCTCGGCTATCTAAACCCTAGCTGCTAGACAGGCGACGGCGGCGGCGGCGGCGGCGACGACGGCAGCGGCAAGCCGGCGACGGTGGCGGCGGCTGTCTTAGATCACCTTGGCTCCTTGCTGGAGTTGCTGGGCATTGGCCTTCAATCCCCCTAGTGTTTGTTTGTGCTTCCTATCTCCCTAAATCGTGGGACAGTGGGAGGCTAGGAGCCGTCACCACCGCCGGCGGCAAGGCCTCTTGCATGCACTAATCTCTTAGGTAATCCATTGATTTGTTCTTCTCCTGTACCCTTTGTTTTGTGCCTTTCATGAGATCGATAAACTGATGTAGATCTTGGATGTGCTTTTTTTTACTTTGTGTCTAGATTGGTGATGGAGTCTGGTAGTGCAAGTAGTGCAAGTGCAGCTGCAAGTACCACTGCATCATCTCCAGTTTTGCAACTCCCAGCACCTCCAAGCCATGCTACGGCAGCTACGCAGGACACTTCTCCTGCTGCTGGTGCTTTGGTAATGAAGTTTTGTTCCATCAAGCTTTCTATTGCTGATTGGTGTAACAGTACAGATGGAACAATAAAAACCATGGCAAACGCCATGCAAACTAAATATGATAAGTACTGGGAGAAGTCGAATATGGCTCTTGTTGTTGCATGCTTCCTTGATCCACGTTACAAAACAAGTTCAATAGAGTACTATAGTATGAAGATTTATGGTTTAGAAGCTGCAGAAAAATTTGATGAGTTCAATGGGGTTATCAAAAAATTGTTTGATGTTTATGCTACTAGTGCGTGTGCAACATCAAAGAAGAAAGGTGCTGAAATGCATGTGCATCAACTTCAAATTCAATCTGATCCTGTTCATAATACTGATGAGTTTGATGATATCTTTAATGAGAATGACAGTAGCCATGATCATGAGCAACATCTTCAAAGATTTTTGCTTGAGAGAAGTCAGCCAATTTGTAGTGATAAAACCGAGTTACAAATTTACATGGAACAACCACTGTTACTATGGACTTCCAAAGATCCATTTGATATTTTGTCTTGGTGGAAGCTCAAACAAGCAGAATTTCCTATCCTCTGCAAACTTGCTCGTGATTTCTTATGTATTCAAGTGTCAACTGTTGCTTCTGAGTCGGCATTTAGTGCTGGTGGCCGTGTTGTTGATCCATTTCGCACCCGTCTTGATCCAGAGGCTGTGCAAGCTTTAGTTTGCACCAAAGATTGGATTAAAGCAGCTAACAATGGTACACTTTGTGTCTGTGTTCATTGCTTATTTGGCCATTCCTTCTTGTATATATCAATATATGTATAGCTGATCCATGATCTGATCTGGCATCATTCTTAGGTTATAAGACTCAGGCTATTATCAATGAGTTGGACATTGAAAGCGTAGAGAGGCATCTGGCAAACTTATTGATAGTGGTGAGCTATTTTCTTATTTTACCTCTATGAATATTTTTCTTAATATAACAACAATATTATTCGACTCCTGTAGGAAAAAGAGGAGAATAATGATGACATGGAACAGGATGATGTTCTGATGGATGAAATGGATGAATAATGATGTTGCAGCTTTCATGCATCGGACTGCAAGTGTACTGAAAATTGCTTTTGGGCTAATTACTATTTTGATCTTATCTGTGTTACCTATAGAACTCGAACTCAATATATGTTGAACTTTTCAACGTGTTTCGATTTGAACACGATACACTTTGTTTAATCTGTGATGCGTCCTACAACGATGATATTTATATTAAATTAGATAAATATATGTGGTGCATTTGTATCTACGAGCAGTTTGAGTGGTCTTTGTATTCCGAGAAATATTCGTTTTCGTATTCGTGTCCGATCATATTCGATCCTTATTCGTATCCGCGATAATTCGTATTCGTTTCCGTATCCGAGTTATTCGTATTCGTTTCCGTATCCGCCTAACAATATGAAAACGGATACGGTAAGAGCATTATCCGTCCGTATTCGCTCCGTTTTCATCCCTGGATAGGTAGTTGAAATCATTTTTTTAACCCATATGGTAAATATTTATGCTAGAATTAAATGTTGGAGGTCAAGCGGGGTATATCGTGTGAATGGACGGTAGAGGTATTGTGATTTGTGAACAAAGAACTGAGATGATTTGAAATGACAAAAAGTATTAGAGGAATCCCAATATAATTCAGCATACCGTATTGCTATTTCTCACATGTACGATTGCGTGAACAAAAAAGTATTAATTAATTTATATTGAGGTATCCATATTGATGTAAACCTAAGTTTTACGATGGACCAAACTTACACGCACATTTCGCTAACAAAGGCCCGTTAGTTTTCAATGATGAAAATGTAGTTAGGGCACGGAGTACAACAAAACCATTAGTACTGATTAATTAAGTTTTTAGTATTATAAACTTGAAAAAGAATCAATTTAATATTTTAAGGCAACTTTAATATAAGAAAGGTTTAGCACGAAACATACTGATTAGCAGTTTAAAAAGTGTGCTAACAAAAATCAAGGTGGAATATCTTACTCTGTATTTCAAATCATCTCAGTTCTTTGTTCACAATACCTCTACCGTCCATTAACACGATATACCCCGCTTGACCTCCAACATTTAATTCTAGCATAAACATTTAACATATGTATCTTTATGCTCAGTTATAAACTAGATTAGTGCTTCACCATATGAGCTTGGGATGGGAGATGAGGTTTGATGGTGATTGGTAAAGAATGTAGCACATGGGAGTTTCTGCACGTACGATGAGACCAAACTGCGTGGCAAACCAATGTCATATGGATAGGGTGCAGTGCAAGTGATCGGCTGAGTCTGAAGCCAATGTGGTGGACCAAACGGGGAGCCCTAGATAATCGGGTTTTGAATTTTGAGATATCAATATTGAGAAAACACCATTTTAACTTAATTTTGGCCAAATACGCCACACCAAATGTTTAGACAGGGCATTAAATGGAAAAAAAAATCCAATTGCACAGTTTGCATGTAAATTGCGAGGCGAATCTTTTAAGTCTAATTGCGCCATGATTTGACAAGCAATGCTACAGTAAATATTTGCTAATGACGGATTAATTAGGTTTAATAAATTCATCTCGCAGTTTATAAGTGGAATCTGTAATTTATTTTGTTATTAGTCTACATTTAATACTTCAAATGTGTATCCGTATACTTCGAAAAATTTACACCCAAGAAACTAAACACACCCTTAACATAAAAACTAAACACCAACTGAAAAACTTTTAGAAAGATAAATAGCTAGGTAACTTGGTTTTCAAGGATAAATATCCATCTTTATATACTATAGTCCGAAGGAAATCATCCTTTATTGCCACTGTGTCCCGCTTAATGTTTCTTTTAGAAGAGCTTTAGTTGGTCAGAATATTGTATACTGGCATGAATTGTGTGTTTCCATTGTACATATTTATTTGAATCTTTTTTCTGACTGTTTTAGATGGAATTATCATCAGAATGGTATGTTCTCAGTAAGATCAATGTATCTAGCTTTAATTAACAATGCTTATGATGAGAGAAACAAGTATATTTGGAAACTTAAGATGCCGCTTAAGATTAAGATTTTTATGTGGTACTTGCTTAAGGGGGTTATGTTATCCAAGGATAATTTGGCAAGACGGAATTGGAATGGTAGCTTAAGGTGTTGCTTTTGTATGAAAAATAAGTCTATTCAAAATCTCTTCATGGATTGTCATTATGCAAAGTTTATATAGAGAGCAGTTCAGTTTTCTTTTAGTTTTAACCTTCCAACTAGTATATCTCATATTTTTTATGGGTGGCTTTTGGGGGTTGACAAAAAAAAAAGGAGTAAACTGATACTTGTTAGAGCTTCTGTCATTTGTTGGGTTCTATGGTTGAGTAGAAATGATTTGGTTTTTGACAAATCACCATCTATTTTATATATGCAGGTAATTTTCAGGGCAACACACTGGCTCCTGTTATGGGCACAGCTACAAAGATGTGAGGATGATGGGGAGTTCCTAAATGTTGCATGCCGTAAGTTGGAGTCGATGGTTATGTAACTATTTGCCAATTATGGATAGAGATTCACAAATAGACTTCAATAATAAATGTGTTCTTCTTATTTTGGCCTGGTTTCCAATGTTTTTTATTGGTGTGTTCTTTTTATTTGAATTACACTCTTTTTTGGAGTACTACTTTATAATAATTAGCTGTAACTCATTTTAGCATAGGGTGGGATGTTAAATTCCATTATCTAACAAAAAAAAACTGAAAAACTTTTGAGGCCAAAAAAAATATCAGTTGCCCTTTTATCGATGTTTTTGCACCATTTGCACTTTAAAAAGAGTGAGCATAGCTGCATTGCTATGGCCATCTTCTCACCTAAAACTTTGGCTCCCATGTCCAAGATTGGGGAGTGCATTGACTTGGCTGCTGCCTCCTTCCTCCCCCTCCCCCGCAAACACCAACCTACCATGTCCCTTCTCCCCTCTCCTCTCTGAGCTCAGCTGCATCCATCCATCCAAACTACTCACAGATGCCACTCTTCCTCAACCACCCTCCCATTTAATGCCCTCCACCTCCTCCTCAAGCCCAGGATTCGGGAACCTGCTAGCCATTTTTGCTCCAGGACAGTACAGCCAGATGCTGCTGCTGCAGCTGCTGGGTTGCTGCGGTGGTCAGGTCACCCCGGTTCTTGATTCTTGACGAAGGATGGCAATGGCGACCCCTACGACCAACGGCAGCTTCCTTCTTGGATCAGGTGGCTATCCCGGTGCCCAGATTCTAAGCTTCTCCTCCTCAGGTCACAGCGGCAATGGTAGAGAAATCAATCCATGTTCTTCAGCATTGCTCATATATTTTTTCTTCTTCTTATCGTTCAAAATGATGTTCTTTTTTTTTATGTTATGGATTTTTTTTCATGCTGTTGGGTGGTGAGGGGACTGTTGCATCTGTTGGGGGGGGGGGGGGGGGGGTGTTGCATTGGTGGTGTGGTGGTCACCTTGATGGCAGATTCAGTTAGTTTATTGGTTGCTTGACCCTCCCAATGGCATCGTGGCAAGAAAAAAAAGGATAACTGGTTTTAAGGTCTTGTCAAGTGCAAAAGGAGGAGCTGTTTGCTTCCCCAACTTTTGCTTTTCTGCATTTGGCACTGCAGAGATGTGCCCCTTGTCACCAAAGATGCAGAGTCTTTTAAATCCTTTGGAGATGGCTCTCACTCTTTTTACACTTCCATCTTCAAGTGAGAGAGGTCAGGAAAGAGGAGAGAGCTAGTTCAGTAGCAACCATGAGTGAAGCTAGGAGCACTAGAGTAGTGTCCCTGAACTCAGGAACCTAGATGCTGTTTCTTCCTCAAATCTTGCATGCTACACAGCCTTACAGGCAATGCTGTTTTGCACTTTTCATCACTCATATCATCTCATTTTTCATTTGCTTTGTGGTCTTGACATTGCATTTTTTTGTTGTCATCGATCCATTTTTTGCAGGGTTGGATTGTGGAAGCTCAGATGTGGCAAGAATGCAGGGGGTTTTAGCAAGGGTTAGGGGGCCATTCACACCAACACAATGGATGGAGCTGGAGCACCAGGCTCTGATCTACAAGCACATTGTGGCGAATGCGCCGGTACCGGCCGGCTTGCTCCTCCCCATCAGGAGAAGCCTCCATCCACCAGTGTTCCCACACTTCTCCTCTGGTGGCATTCTTGGCTCCAGCTCCTGTAAGCTATTGTGCCATTAGTTTTGGTTTGTCCCAATGTGATACCTATTTTTAAAATCCTGGATAAAGCAATGATACATTGGGATTCTGTTATGGTTAGTATTTTGGTTTTGTCTTTTGAGGGAAAGGTGTGGGTTTGTTAACTATGATTAGCTTATTGGGGATTGCTATTAGTTTATTCAGGGATCCTTTTTGTATCCTGCAAAGGCTTTGGAGTTTGGATCTTAAAAACGACACTCACATTATTAGAGATTTAAATATTTAGTAGAGAACATGTGACACTTGAGCATACTTTGCTAAACACTGATGGATTAGTGTTAGAGATATACTCCCTCCGTTTCGAAATGTTTGACACCGTTGACTTTTTAGCACATGTTTGACCGTTCGTCTTATTCAAAAACTTTTGTGAGATATGTAAAATTATATGCCTACATAAAAATATATTTAACAATGAATCAAATGATAAGAAAATAATTAATAATTACTTAAATTTTTTGAATAAGACGAATGGTCAAACATGTTTAAAAAAGTTAACAGCGTCAAACATTTCGAAACGGAGGGAGTATATCTTTATAGGTCTGCACATCCAAATATTAAATCATGGTTCTTTCATTTTACAGTGGGATGGGGGTCATTTCAGCTGGGCTATTCTGGGAGTGCTGACTCCGAGCCCGGGAGATGCCGTCGAACCGATGGCAAGAAATGGCGGTGCTCGAGAGACGCAGTTGTCGACCAAAAGTACTGCGAGCGGCACATAAACCGGGGTCGCCACCGTTCAAGAAAGCATGTGGAAGGCCAATCTAGCCATGCCGCAAAAGCAACGGTTCCCGCCATAGCACAACCACCCATTGGTGCATCTAATGGCAAATTGTCAGGCAGCCATGGTGTGTCAAATGAGCTCACGAAAACCTTGGCTACTAACAGGTGAGGTTATCTGATCTTACATGGTTTAATCATTATGTCCTATTTGGTAATGAGATAATTTCTTATGTCTTGATACCCAATACTAGCTGGTGCTGCTGCAGTATTGTGACTGCTGCCCAATAGACTCTTACCTAATTTGATTTCATTGCACTACAGTACTACACAACAGTTATTTGACTCAAAACTCTTAACCTGAAGGACAGTTTTTCATCATGTCTCTAGTCTTTTGTATCCAGTGAGTGAGTGAATGCATTAGGGTGGGAGGGAGGGACTTTTACTTCACAAATTTGCTCAAACGATTTTCATTTACAAGAAATACATATCTGAGAGAACATTTTTAGTTAAATTACCGTAATTTGATTGCAGACATTCCAGGGTGACATGTTATATTCACAGGAGGGAATACAATGTATCTTAGGAAGTGCGACATTATAGTGATACCAGTAATCTTTTTAGTGGATGTCTCATAAGTATGTTTTTACTTGACACTGTTTTTACCTTGTTTACTGGAAATTATCTAATTATTTGAGTGGAACAATGTAGGCTTTGTTTTTGCTACATCGTATTATATCATAGTAGTGTCAAAATGCATCTGACAAGAAAAAACATTCTGCAAGTTTTGACATAATTTGACTGGTTACCTTTTTTTTTTTTACAAAATATGAGTTAGTTATTTTTTATGCTGGTAGTTGCCTTAACTTTTGTTGATTATCTAGATTTATTAATGTAATCTGTCTTCTAACACAGATATTTTTTTTATTTTTGTAGGATGATGTTGGATAAAGCAAATCTTATTGAACGCTCCCAGGACTACACTAATCAGCAACACAACATCCTACAGAACAACACAAAAGGTGATAATTGGTCTGAAGAGATGTCCTCACAAGCAGACTATGCAGTAATCCCTGCTGGCTCTCTCATGAACACACCGCAATCGGCGAATTTAAATCCAATTCCCCAGCAACAACGCTGTAAGCAGTCACTCTTTGGCAAAGGGATACAGCATGATGACATTCAGCTGTCGATATCCATTCCCGTGGATAACTCCGACTTACCCACTAACTACAACAAGGCTCAAATGGACCATGTAGTAGGCGGTTCATCGAATGGCGGAAACAACACGCGAGCAAGTTGGATACCGGGCTCCTGGGAAGCGTCCATAGGTGGACCTCTGGGTGAGTTCTTCACCAACACCAGCAGCGCATCAGACGACAAAGGCAAAAGCCGCCACCCGCCATCTTTGAACCTCTTAGCTGATGGACATACTACAAGTCCACAGCTGCAATCGCCCACCGGAGTCCTGCAGATGACTAGCTTCAGTTCAGTGCCCAGCAGCACTGTTAGTAGTCCTGCAGGCAGCCTCTGCAATGGCTTGCTCACTTCAGGCCTGGTGAATGCCCAGACTGTCCAAACACTGTGAAACCGCCGGTCTGATCATCAGGGAACAGCCATGAGGCTATCTACTGATGTTTTTGTCCCCAGAGCACACCCTGTATGATTTCCTAGCTCATGTATTATTTTTCTTTAATCTTTATCACTTCATGCTTTGAGTTCCCTCCGTTTTTAAGCGAGCGGTAATGTGGTATTGTACTATCTCAGTTTCTTGTGGAATTTGTTCTATGTTGCTGACTGAATTGTCATAATTTTTGTCATGGCTGCTTAACCTGGTCTCATTCTGTTGTCTGAAACAAGATCTGAAATTCCGAATCTACCAGTGACTTTTCTGAAATCCCGGATCTAGGTAAAAGATGATTATACATATTTGCCCTTAACTGCACAAATAAATCATCAAAGTAAATTACAATTTTAACCTTCCACCTTCCCAGTGCATTGGATTATAGGCGATCAACGGCCATAATCAATTTCAACCAGAGAACAAGCAATCTTGAAACAGACTAAGGCCGTGTTTAGATTTAAACTTTTTTCTTCAAACTTTCAACTTTTCCGTCACATCAAATGTTTGGACACATGCATAGAGCATTAAATGTAGATGAAAAAAAAAACAATTTCATAGTTTGCATGTAAATCGCGAAACGAATCTTTTGAGCCTAATTATACCATGATTTGATAATGTAGTGCTACAGTAAACATTTACTAATGATAAATTAATTAGGCTTAATAGATTCGTCTCGCAGTTTACAGACGGAATCTGTAATTTGTTTTACAGGCGGAATTTGTAATTTGTTTTATTAGTCTACGTTTAATACTTCAAATGTGTGTCCGTATACTTCAAAAAAAAAATTTGGCACACGAACTAAACACAGCCTAACCTATTGGATTTACAGCAACATGGTAACTTTGCTCATAGTTCTTGATTTGTTTTCTCCCTTTAGACTTCACTACTACTGCTCAGCTTTAGTTCACTGCAGATCAACAGTTAACCTGACGAGAGCGTATGAGCGAAAGCTTATGCCTTGCTCATCGTCGCTCCTCAGAACTGGCACTGAAATCATGCTACTCTGGTGACAACTCCTGCAATTTCTGTTGAATGAATGAATTGAATGAAACAAACCTTTCCTGAAGTTCTGAGCAAGGGAATAGGAACTAAAAGCATCTTTCCAGTTATCTGCAGGCACCAGTGTGTGAGTACTAGTGTTCTTTCCAAGCATTTTCCAGCTGTGTGCTCATTGAGATACTCCATGCAAGACTTGACCCTCTCCAGAATTCAGAGAAAGCTACAACTACAAGTGAGTACTCTGTCTACTATCATCATTTCTCTCTTTAGCTAGCACTGTTCTCAAAGCAATGGTTTTTTCCTTCCTCTTGCTAATCATCTACTTCCTCCGTCATAATATATAACAACTTAAGATTGGATTTGACATATCCTAGTACTACGAATCTAGACATGTATCTGTCCAGATTCGTAGTCCTAGAATATGTAAAATTCGGTCATCGGTTACTATATAATGGGATGGAGGGAGTACTTCCTGATAGTGTGATATTACCATGGCATGCAACACAAGCTTGGGAGAAATGGATAATGATTGGTTTTTGCCAATGTGCCATAGCCCAGAGGACAGGAGCTAGTGGACTTCACTGTGGCAGTTGCTGCAAGCTGCTACTGCTGCTGCTGCTAGCTTGCAGGCAGTGAGGAGGAGCCTTTGAACAGCTGTGGCCATGATGTTCTGCAGTCCACAGGGTAATAGAGAAGCAAAAGATATATACTGCATGATGCAGGAGTATGAAATAGTATAAATGAAGTATTCCGTCCGGTTTTTAATATATAATAATATCGTTGGCTTTTGAATATACGATGAAATCCTTCATTTTTTTTAATGATTTTGAACATGAGATTAAACCTCATTGTTTCAATTTCCTTTGAAACTCCAATGCACTATCTCTTTCGGCTCCACCATTTAGGCTTCAGCTTATAAGCATAAGAAAAAAATAATTTAAAACTTAATTTTAGAGTTGCTTCTTGGGGAATTTTTTATCATGGTTTATTTTTCATTATTTGCTTTTAAATAACTATGAACACATATATATAAAGTTTCACTCATAAATTATTTTTTAATTGTTAATAAGATATTTCACATATAATAAGTATAAGCGAAACGATGGCATTTTTCTCTCTCTCAACTATAGTCTAATAGAGTACCTTTACGGCGGTGGTTATGCTATTGGTATTATCACTGCTACAACTAATCTTAATCATTGTTAATTTGATGAGTTCTACTACCAGTAGAAATAAATCGTCTCTCCTCTCAACTATATCCTAATAGAGCGTCTTTACAATGGTTTCTGATGGTAATATTCTGCAATCGGTATTATCACTAGTAGAACTAACCTTAATCATTGATTGATCAGTTCTACTACCAGTATAAATAATTATTTTACTACAAATAGTTAAGATAGTACTCCCTCCATCTACTTTTGATAGTCATATTTCAAAATCTGAAAATTTTATTTTTGAACCTATTAATGATTTTCTCGAATTTAATGCGTGAGTCTCCATTCTTCCATACATAATTGGCTGCATGGGCATTGAGAAATGTAAAATATTAATTAATCGCTTATTTACGAGGAATGACTAGTGGCATGTTTAAATGGATGATAAGTAGAATTACTTATCCTTGGTCTGTATGTTAAGATGAAATATGACTATCAAAAGTAGATGGAGAGAGTAGTATAAATAGATACGGTGCATTATTAGATTAGAAAAGATGAATAGTCTAGACTGATTTCTACTACCAGCAGATACTATTGTAAAACATCTCATTCTAATAATATTTTTTCCTCTAAAATTCATGTGCGTTTTCTATGGAAATGGTTGATTGGACTAATTCCTGTTTTTTAGTTATGCATATGTCATGACATCCCATTCCTGCATTTTTCCCTCGTTCAAAAGTAGCCCAAAAATGTTATTCTTTTATTACATAAAAAACTCAAGGGTGTATGCGCTAGTCCACTGTTTTATAACTGTAACATAGTTTATTTGTACTCCTAATTATGAAAACAATTTAGGGTTACTTCAAAACACATGATTGAAAAGATAAAGGAATATGAATTAAAATCACATGATTTTAAGAAATGTAAATACAAAACAAAGAATTTCAAAACACAAAAAAATGTAGGAATGGCAATTTCAATTAAATAGACTGTCGGAAAACATACGAATTGTACGAGAGAGATAGGCTGAAAGGAAATTTTCCAAGAGTTTAGAGCTATTACTAACTTATATCTAAAATCCGTCCATTAAAAATTCAATGGAATTTTAAAGAAAAGGATATGATTAAATCATTTTGTTTAAAAGGCTTTCCTCGGAAGGCCTCATTCATCCATCTCACTGGGAAGTTGGGGTAAAAAAAATTATTCCTAAATATAACACTGTAATAACTAATAGAGTAAATTTTACTTAATTTTACTTTAGGACATCTTTTATTGTCAAATTTTTGCTTTGGAACACTTTTTAACTAATATTTCACTTTGAATCGGATAGTCTTGCTTTTATTTCACTTTAGACCACTCGACTCTTCTCAAGTATATGAAGTTGTAACTTATAAGTAGACCATTCATTCATTTAACATTGTTAAATAATAAATTCGGTGGAGATGAGTAAAAAAGTTGATGCTACAAAGGTAAAATTATCCGGTCCAAAGTGAAAGTAAAGGGTGATCCAAATCAAAACACCGACAATAAAAAAGGCCCAAAGTAAAATTCACACTAACTAATAATACCCATCAGTAAGGGAGGAAACACTTGCGAAATTCCGTTCAATGCATTTGGCTGGTTGCAGCCTTACAGCTGGGTTGCCACAATTTCTTTGTTTTTTTTTTAACTTCTTGCAACAATTCTGGTGGATTCAAATTAGGGATTTCAACCGTACGGATACCATTTCTAAAAAAATATATTGTTTCCAATTGTTATTACTGTAAAATTTAGTTTTTCTAATTTCTAATTTCTGTCTGTGTTATGTTGAAGTTGTCACTAATTCATAAATATAGAAAATTTCTGACCGCACCAATACCCTTTCTGAAAAATAATAAAAAAGATATCATATCTAACCGTTTTCACCCCTAATTCAAATGTAAGGGTTGGAAACTTCTCCAACACGCATGAAAATCGAAGGTACTTAGTACATGATTAGTTGGCACGGACGGAAGGTGACGGTAGTGGTATCCCGAAGCGGCAGTGGCAGTGGCCACGAAACTCGAAGATGGCGTGGCGGAGGCGAGACACGAGCTTGGGGACAAACTGAGGTACGACAAGGGTGCTACCGAGATCGAAGTCGGCTTCGCGCGGACGGACGGTGTGGACGGGCGGACGGAGTGGCACGGAACGAAGAAATTCGCAATAAATATGAAAGGCTTGCTAATGAAGTGGCAATCTACCATTGATGGCAAATACTGAAATTTCTCGCCCAAGTTCCAAAGGGAGCAGGACGTCTGTAGCTAGCTAGGAGGCTCGAGCGGGCCATCCAAGCACGGTCTGAGGCTAGCAAGCAGACTTTGGGCCTAATTGTGGTGGGCTTTCGGCCGAAAAAGCCCAGGCGATCGATCTCTCTCCGTGTCCAAAAAAAAAAAAAAGACGGTTATTTTAGAAAATCAAACACACATCAAGCAACAGACTAAAACACTACCACACCCTTTATTAATATAGAGAGATCAGAAAACAAGGAGAGGAGAGAAAATCTTTACCTATGGACGTGACTACGATGACCATAGCTGGATTGTCATAACTAGTTACCTCACCCTTAGTACCGGTTGCTATTGGAACCACTCCCATGGTTGACGTCGCGCAATAAAGCAATATCGAGATGCCTCGCCGATTAGTTTTTGCGCTACCGGTATAGGTATGCGTGTGCTCGCGCTCTTTGATGCAAGGACATGCAACTCTGCCCAAAGGAGATGCAACACCGCACACATTATCACTTTGGTCTAATTTCGTCCTTGTATTCTATTGGGCACCGATCCTAGACACAAAAGAAAGGTATCTTCAATAGTGCCTCAAGCTTCTGAAAACTGAAATGGCTATGGGAAGCAAGCACGGTCGTACTTTCCTAATCACTGGTTTCCATGCCTATCCAATGATCAAGGACTGGATAAGGATGACTCGAAAGAAAACAAAATTAGGGATTCTGGCCCTATTTATATTTCAATTTTTTTTCTTCAAACTTTCAACTTTTCCATCACATCGAACTTTCCTACACACACAAACTTTCAATTTTTCCA